CACGTGGTGAGAAAATTATTAACTACTGTTTACTAGACAAAAAGTCTTGACCCCCTAAACAACTTTGCCCAAGACAGCAACTTTCTAGCTGATCAAGATCTCAAGCTATTGAATATGGAAGAAAAGCACGTATATACTAGCACCGCATAGTGCGAAAATTCTCAACTATTGTCACCCAACTACAAGATCTTGACTTCCTGAAAAACTTTGCCGAATACAAAGCAAGTCCATGCTGGAGGCGGCTGAGTTCGATTCCCGTCCGGTCTATTAATTTTTCGGGTTGGAAAATTTCTCTACTTTCTTGGACATTGGATGGTACAGGCATAGAAAGCTCTCAATTAAAATGTGAAAGTACTTCAAAGAACACTAAGTTGAGAGCAGGCAAAAATCTAATAAGCTATAAGCAATAAGCTTGAAATGCCATGTAATTTGCTATTTTTAGTTGCTAGAGATGAACTAGCCTTCGGCTAAATATCTCTACAATAAAGAATTAAAAAAAAGCTATTTTCAGTCAATGAAAACTGTTTTTTTGTCGCAGTAATTGAGTCCGCGGATTTCTTTTGAGAAATCACGGATTTCGCGGATCAAATTGAGAAAATCTTGTAACAGCCCTGAATTTGAGATCATCAGTTTTTACACATTGAGGATGCTAGCTAGTCCCAAGCATCGTCTATTGATTCTCTGTGTAATTACAGCTGATCTGGCAATAACAGAGTAGTAACTGTAGGCGGTCAATCATGCTCATGCTCATGCTAAAAATGGTTTCAACTTGCGGAGATATATGTTAACTGCCATTTTTGCCTAATATGCCCTACAATCCGTATTCTCAAAAAATTAAATAAATAAAATATTATTAAAAGATTTGATTTCAATGACAGTTATTCTTGGAGAATAAAATTCGTAGAACAGAACCATAACTATTAAACAAAATTTAGAGTTGTCTTGTATTTTTTTTTTCAAAATAAGGGATTTTGGAATAAAATCAGCTAAAACCCAACTTGTACTATCCTACCTAAGATGAAACCAATTCTATTCGATTTGTGAGATTTTTTCCAGTAAGATCGACTATATTTGATCAAGCTCGTTTGAACAGGAGTTTTTGAATTTTGAAATATGTTTACGATGTTGTCCCCAGTGTGCATTAGACTGATGCAAAATTTGACTTTTTCGCTCCACAGTGCTTAAATGGTTTCAAATCGGGTCGTGACTAGCCTCCAAAAGTTACAACTCATTTGGTTAGAAACAGACTTCGCACAAACCATTTGAAGTTTACATGTAAATTACTATGGGAAATCTCAACTTTTTGTTCATTGCCTTCTAGTCTTTTTTCCATATTGAGCTGCAAAACAGCTCGATAGCTATTCTTATAGAAAATTTTCTCAGCTACAACTTTGCTGAAAATCTTTTCTATGTAAAACGAGACAGGAAATAGTTATTAATTATTTAAGAGATTTGTAAACTTATGACATGATCAAGCAGCTGCTCTGTAGGCAACACTGTATTTTGCAGTGTGACATAGTAGCCATAATTTTTGTGTCCTATTCAACGCCCCAGAAACACCAATGTTGCCTGCTGAGCAGTTGATTGAGCATGATCATAAGACATCAGAGCATTGAACCATTAATAACTTTCGATCCTTGCATTTAATCAAAAAGTGGTCTTGAGCAAAGTTGTAGCTGGAAAAATTTTCTACAAGGAAAGCTAAAAGCGTTTGAAACAGACTGATGTGGTGAATTATTAGATAGACATGAACAAAAATCTTGGTTTTACCATAGTAATTCCCATACAAACTTCAAATGGTTTGTGCCATCTCAGTTTCTCACCAAATGGGTTCAAATTTTGTCAGTCAGGATCCTATTTGGAATCGTTTAAGTATTATGGAGCGAAAATTTCAAATTTTGCATCACTCTAGTGTGCATTCAGATAAACATTTATCGTTATGTAGACATTTGAAAAATTCCGATTTCTAAATATCATTCTCCAAACCCCCGCCAGCATCAGGACAGACAGTCACAACCCAAGGGGCGTGATTTTTCTTGACTAGAAAATCCTTGAGCCGTGAAAATCTGACATCAACGAATTGCGAGGATTGTGCGATTAGAAAAAAAAAGAAAAACAAAAACAGATAAAATGCGAGATGACGAACTGAATAGCGTGAATTGTGATGAGATTAGAAAGCTGATCCGAGGACCTGGTGCAGCCATGGCAAGAGCAAGAGCGTGAAACGGCAACGAGACGGTGAAATTGTTTCAAACAAAACTAATTATACGAATTTTTATAGCCACGCTCCCGAGTCGTCGGATAGGTAGGCAGGTCCTGAACTGTTGCGCGCGGTTGGGGGTGGGCGGTTGGGTGAAGATCAGGACAACTTCAGCATCAGCCAATATGAATATTTAAAATTTTAATGAATTACTCATCCCACTACTGCGGCGCTGACTGAGAGGGTCGCTTTGCACCGGAGTGAGCGGAATTCTTGATGGGTTCATTCCACTGCAGAATGAGGCTTATGCTAATTTTACGCAACATTGGCAAGTTTGTGCTGATGTTCAAGAATTTTTACAAGTGGAAAACAGAAAGCTATCCCACGTCCAACTGACGTTAATTACAGGTTGTTTGATTGCTGATAAATTGACTTGCTCGACGTGCGTCAAGTTTAGCAAAAGAAAATTCGGGTCCGGGATCCTTTTAGTTTGAACCCAAACAAATCGATGAATCACCATCGCCAAGGGACTCCGCCTTTCCAGAACGAGATCCCGAGCCGAACGGTTCAGTGTCATTAATTTATCTTTTTCCTTTCCAACAGTCCGTGGGCACTCGAAGCGCAACGAGGGATTCACAAATTTCATATTAAAAAGTAATTAACTCGAATGCTTATTTACATTTGGTTTGCCTTCTTTCTTTGCCGTGCTGATGGTAAGATTTGCTCCTTCTTACGGATTTTTTTTTATTGCGCTGAAGTCGTTCCAACTGCTGAAGCTGAAAAGCTACTCAGGGCAAGATAGGAAAGAAGAAAAAAAATGGGAAAAGTTCTTTTCAACTGCTGGGAACATTCTTTTCTGTATTTTCACTGCGCGGTTTGGGTTTTATTTTCTTCACAGGGTTCGTCCTCTGTCTGGGGCTCCAAGTTAAAGTAATTATTTGGAGTTGTAGGTGAAATTATCTCTAGCGCAAGTCTGCCTTAAAAGTTTTATCCTAATTGCGATTTTTGCCTTTCGTAGGATTACTCGTAGAATCAATTTTAAGTCGAAGGCTCAGAAAAAACCTTCGGAGGAATCAGTAGAACTTCTTAGGAAATAAATGCCAGCTTCAGTACCGCTTGTGAGAAATGCTTCGCAAATCCTGCCTCGACCTCCGGCAGAGGAGCAATGATTCCTAAAATAGACTTCCGGTTAGAATCACCCAAAGATAGATAGCATTCCTGCTTCGCATGAAATAAAAACCTTCGCAAAATTCTGTCTCGAATTAGAGCATCTATAATCAAGCGAATCTTGCCCACTGATAGTCTGGAAGAATTTTAGCAAATGCGATTGATTTTCGACAAATATTAATCGGTATCCTGGAAGCCATTTAAAAAATATGTTCAGTTCATTCATTTGTTTTCAATGTATTCTCCACTGTATAGAATACAAATTACTTATTCACTATTTTTGATTCTGGACAACACGCCCGAAACTTTCATTTCGGAGTGAGTGCATTCTGGAAGCATTCTGCCTGTTCAGATCGACCATTTCACATTGTTTGCCCAGATCTCCAGTCATCGGAAACTGGCGTCTACGAACATTTCTCAGACGAATCAAGAGTTGGGTGTGGGAATCAATGGCAATAAACTTACCCCTCACAGGAACTCGTCAGACGCACGCCTCGTTAGCCACGGTTATGGCTTGGTGGAGTCCCTCCAACGCTCGGTCGATGTCATCCAAGGTGTTAAGCAGCGGGTTGTCGATGATGTGCCTGTCTACAACGCGTCCAAACTGGACCCAGTTTACGTGGTGGTAGTCCTTGTGTAGACTTGGAGCAGGGGACACGTTGTAGCCCAGGTCAAGCGTCGATGGGTTGCCCGCCGGTGAGATGAATTTTCGCTCATTCGAAAACCAAACGGAGTACAGCCCATGCTGCGAGTGGTTGAACAGCAGACGACCGTTCTGGTGCTGCCTGTAGCTCCACCAGGCCTCATGGCGAGCATTTAGATCTCCTCCAACTACGATGCGAGAACCGGTACGGGTGATGGTGGACAGGTCCTTCTTGAATTCAGCCGATAGTCCACTGCTGGCGGCACACTGTCGTGGACAGTAGACGGCCATGAACTGGACGTATCCAGACGACTACTCCACCTCCACACCAAGGGCCTCGATGATAGAGGTGCGGGGATATGGGACAGAGTGTGGTATTTTATTCCTTTCTTGGCGACGACCGCAACACCACCCCCCTGGAGCTGGTGCGATCAAGCCGAATAATGTTGTGGTCAGGCAACCAGAAGCTTTCGCTGGACTTAAGATGGGTTTCGGTTAGAAGACCCACGTCGATGCTCAATCTCTTTTGCTCTTACAGAGCAAGCATTACAGGTGATGATAGTTAGCGATTTAGACGCCATACTGGATGATGAACTTACCGAGCACTTAAACCTGTTCGGGCTTGCTGCGGCACTGACGTAGAGCGCTGGTCATGTCGACGAAAATCTTCATCAGCTCATCCACAGAGAAGAGATCGGGATTGACGTTTTGGTTGTCTCCAGAATCCAGGGGGGATGGAGCACTTTGTCCAGCAGAAGCACCAGACGTTTCTTTACGAGGGCCAGATTGCACCTGCGCATTTGCTTGACCGTGTTGTGTAGCATGAAGAGGCGGAAAGACCTCCACTCTGAATGCCGGTGTATTGTCCTTCGTTCATCCTGGTTGGTTTCTTGTGGACGCCTGCTTTCGGATCCGCTCGAAATCTTTGCGTTTGGGGCACTGTTTGTCGGACCCTTGATGAGCGCCACTACAGTTGGCGCATTTGGCCGTTTACGACTCGTCGACATCACACTCGGAGGAGACATGGTTTTGGGCGCATTTGCCACAGCGCGGCTTCATGTAGCAGTTTCGGGTGCCGTGCCCAAAATTCAGGCAACGTTGACACTGGGTGACGTCGTGACGGCCGCCACGGTATGGCTCCCATCGGACAATGATGGAATTGATAGAGCGGATGGCCTTTAACGCATTGAGCGTCACCGTTCCCTTCTGCAAATGCACCAGAAAAAGGCAATTCGGATACTTCCTGTCGTTCTCGTCCCTCCTTGCTATCCGACAGACGGCAGTTGGGCCAACTTGTACCGGTCCTTGTTTTCCGCTTCGATTAACTTCGGGTCAAAGCTCGGTAAACCTCGGATGACCACTTTGAAGGGCTTCTCGCCTGGGATATCGTGAGTGAAGAATTCCGCGTTAGACTTCTTCAGGTATGATGTGGCCAGCTCGCATTCCGCTTTCGTGCGGAACATCACCTTTATTCCGATTCTACTGAGTTTGAACTCAACTTTAATGCCCATGGACGTGAAGCTAGCGATGAGCGTGTTTAGAGGTGCATTTTTCACTACCACCGGTGGTAGTTTGACGATTTCCGCATTTCGGCTGGCATTTTCGGTTTCATCAGCGATACCGAAATCGCCGATATCGCTGACGTTTGTCGCGGTAACATCGTTGCGACCAATCGGACTGGCCTCGATGCTTCTTCCTCTTTTTACTGCGCTTTTCCGTCACAGCTGAGCGGGTATTCCCATCGATGGGAAGATCAGCAAACCTGTTCGCTGTGGGTACGCCCGAGCTTCCTTTACCGGGCTTCGCGAGCGATGCTTCCCCATTTCGGGGCACACACACAAAAAACCGCGAAAGAGAGAGCGCGAACACTATCACAACGAACTTTCCGAACAACTAGAGAGAGAGAGAGCGCTAACACCGAATTGAACTGCTTGACGATCAAGCAGAGAATGATGTGAAATAGTATAAGTGTAAACACCCCATAAATATCGTTCGTTGAGACAACATTCGTTGCGATACTACAGCTCGTTCGATTGGTCCACCAATCAGGAACGTCTTAGCTTGGGTGACCGATATTCTTTGCTCGACTGTCGAGCTGTTCACTCCGTATTTTCTCTCGAGTTCTCGATTCGATTTTGTTTCGTTTTGTGCTGTCACGTTGTGCCGTGGAAGAGTCGCCACCTTCTCGCGTTCTGGCAAGTTTAATTGAACTGGCAAACACGAAACAAATGGTGCGTACACGTGCCAATGAAGCTGCTAGTCAAGCCCAGCGCGTCGCAGGATGACGCCGGAAAACGAGTACTGTAAGCCAACCAGTATGCAGTACTCCCGGAAGAAAATGGCGATGGTGACGCCGTTCCCATTGCAAGACGAGAGCGGATTCCCCCGCTTTTCACGCCGGTGAAGGATGTTGCCAAGCTGGGTGCCGAACTGGCAAAACACAAGCTGCTGCCTCGCTTCAAGCTTTGCAGCATCGGTACCAAAATCATGTACTCCAGCCTGGAGGAGTACAAACAAATAGGAAGTTTCCTGAAGAACAACAACGTGGACTTCTTCACGTATGACCTGCCATCGAGCAAGCCACTGAAGGTGGCTTTGCGTGGATTACCGTCGTTCGAGGCTGCTGCGGTGAAGTCCGAGCTGGAGCGGCTTGGGCTCCAACCTGAGGCCGTTTTCCAGATGAACCGGCGTCCCAACCAAACCACCAGCTTCCGTGATCAGTTGTTCCTGGTGCATTTCACGAAGGGATCGCCCAGTCTTGCGGCTCTGAGATCCAAAATCCGGGACCTGTTTCAGGTCATCATCAGTTGGGAGCATTACAAACCCCAACATCGTGGTGTAACGCAGTGTATGAACTGCCTCTCATATGGCCATGGCACCAAAAACTGCCACATGAAGACAAACTGCGGCAAGTGTGCTGGAACTCACTCAACTGCGTCCTGTGAGCAAGTCGATGACATCGAGCCAACGTGTGTCAACTGCGGTGGAAACCACCAAGCCTCCAATCGCGGATGTCCCAAGCGAGTGGAGTTCATTAATATCCGTCGGAAGGCCACAATCAACAACCAGCTCGGTAGCCTTCGTAATCATCGTTCGCCTCCTGTACTAACGGAAGTCCAGTACCCAGCTCTCCAGCCCCGTCGACATGTTCCGAACCTAGCCCCGCTTCCGCTCAACAACCAACAAGCCAATCCTGCGAGTATCCAAATGGTTTCCAACAGTCGGACAGTTCAGCATCGTCTCGCTGTTGCTGCGGCCCAGCCAATTCCAGGTTCTTCCACCGCCCCTGGTTTATCAAACGCTGGTGCTGTCTCAGGTGAATCTGTCGACGATTCTCCGTTCACCTCGGAGGAACTTGTGACGCTCGTGGCCGAGGTCATCATCATCATGCGTACCTGCAAGACTCGATCTGAACAGCTTCATGCTGCCTTGTCACTCGTCACCAAGTATGGACCGTGAAGCTATAAAAATTGCAAATTGGAACGCTTGCTCACTGACGAACAAGCATAGAGAGCTACTCGATTTCCTCAACACCAAGAAGGTCGACATTGCTATCATCACCGAGACACATTTGAAGCCCGACCTGAACGTATTCCTTCCCGACTTCCGGCTCGTCAGACTTGATCGCACCTGCTCTGGAGGTGGAGGAGTGGCCATCGCTGCAAGACGGAACATCAGTTGCCGGCTGCTACCAAACTTCCAGCTGAAAACAATTGAAGCCATAGGAGTGGAGGTGAGCACATCACTTGGCCCAATCACCATCATCGCGGCCTACTGCCCCAAGCAAACCAACATAAGGGACGGGTCGTCAGTGGCCCTCGGCAAAGACATCATCAAACTCACCCGGAGGAGCGGCAACTTTATCATCGCTGGCGATCTGAACGCAAAACATCAAGCTTGGGGCAACGGTCGGAGCAATAGAAACGGCATCATCCTAAATCAAGACCTGCAAGAGGGCCACTATACCATCTTGGCCCCGGACTCTCCCACCCGGTTGAGTCGGTCTGGGGTCCATGCGACCATCGACATCTTCGTAAGCAACATGGGACACAACGTCTCGCAACCTGTGGCATTCCAGGAGCTGAGCTCGGACCACTACCCGGTGGTGGTCGTAGTTGGATCCTTGGAAAATCGATTCGAAGCTTCCCGGCGCAACTACCATCGAGTCAACTGGGCGCAATATCAACACTGCGTCGACACAACCATCGACTACGATGTCCAACCGGGGACGTCGGAAGATGTTGACCGGTGTCTACAAACCATCGAGGAAGCGATTTCCCGGGCCAGGGAACAACCCCTGCCATCAGATTTCTAACATTTTTTCAGAGGAATCCGAGATTACGGCTGACGCACTGTTGGCCTATATCAAATCATCTAAAAACATGAAGGACCCAGGTTTCGACAACATCCTGAATCTGGAGCTCAAGCACTTGAGTTCCAGATTCTACAACCATCTGGCACTGATTTTTAATCAGTGCCTCAGACTTGGCAACTTCCCCTCGTGTTGGAAGTCAGCTAAAGTCATACCCATCTGGAAACCTGGGAAGGATCCGTCCTCTTCTTCAAGTTATCGGCCAATCAGCCTTCTCTCAGGGTTATCAAAACTGTTCGAAAGAGCACTGTACCACCGGCTCCTAACATCTGCCGATGAAAACAACTTGTTACTCGAGGAACAGTTTGGTTTGGACCGTCCACCAGCTGACTCGAGTAACAAACATTCTCAGACGAAACAAGTCTGTTTCGAAAACATCTGCCATGGCGTTGTTGGACGTTGAAAAAGCATTCAACAATGTCTGGCATGATGGCCTGGTGTTCAAATTGCAGCAGTACGGTCTTCCAATCTTCCTAGTGAAGATCATAAGCAACTATCTATCAGACAGGACGTTCCGAGTCTCTCTGAATGGCATCACATCGGATGCTTTCAACATCAGTGCCGAGGTTCCACAAGGAAGCATCCTTGGCCCCATCCTATTCAACCTGTTCACCTCCGATATGCCGGCTCTCCCTGATGGTGGATCGTTGTCTCTGTTCGCAGATGACACATCCATCGTCTACAAGGGTAGGGTCATCGGAGCTCTGACTGCCAAACTCCAGAGAGGCCTGGACGTCTTGTCTGAATATTTGAACAGCTGGAAGATCCGTATCAACGCGGCAAAGACCCAGGTCATTATCTTTCCACACTCTAAATCTCCCAGACTTGTTCCGTCGGAGAATAACAAGATCTGCCTGAACGGCACAGTGGTGGAATGGTCCAAAGAGGTCGTGTACCCCGGGCTAACACTAGACAGCAAGCTTCTTTTCAGGGAGCACGTTGACAAAACGAAAACCAAGTGCAACATCTTGATAAGATCGAAGTCAACCCTGTCCCTGAAAAATAAGCTTGCTGTCTACAAACAAATTATCCTTCCTGTAATCGAGTACGGTATGCCAATCTGGGAGAGTTGCGCAAAATGCCATCACCTTAAATTCCAAAGGATCCAGAACAAGATCCTAAGGATGGTCCTAATCAGTCCCCCGCGGACTAGAAATTCTGAGATCCACCTCCTGGCTGGAATTCAGACATTAGAAGAACGGAGAGTATTCATACTGGAAAGGTTCAGAGACACCTGTCTGAGATCAAATCATCAGATCATACGTGATCTAGCACGTTAGGTTAAGTTATACTCGTAGTTAGGTAGTTTATCACAACCTTTTATCGTCAGGGGGGTAAACAAAGTCCTAGAGCACTCAAATTTGGCCAATAGTTGCTCAGAAACACAATGTATCCACATGCCAAAATTGAGCTCTCAAGGACGTTGTTTACCCCCCGACGATAATAAGTTAAGGTATTGCCGAGGCCAACTTTTCCCCTATCTCAAATTTACCTTGTTCCGGAATAGATTGGATTAACCAGAACCGTTCAAAGAAAAATTATAAAAGTATTCGTTTGGACGATTTAAAAAAAAAACTTAATACACTTCAATTTCGGAAACTTTAGTAATAAATTTTTAGAGTCATATATTCTGTTTTTTTCCATGAACTGTTTGGCTGATTGAACTCTCTTGATTTCGAAAAAATGTGTAATTTGTCAAGTTTCTGATTAACATCGAATCGAATAGCATCGATGAATCAGAAATTCAGATAATCGTCCCGTCGGGCAAGCACGAGTGCAGTGAAAGGACGTAGGAAGTGTACAGTACATTATCCTACAATTTATAACTGAACTAATGTGGCAAAATTGGCTAAATGCCTTCCACCTTCCCTTTTCGGATCTAATTCAATAAATTTCCGGAAACAACATAAAAACTATTTAATCCATTTTAAAAACAGACCCAGCGCTGCACAAAGTGTTGCCACGCCATCCGTGAAGTGAAACTTTCCGCAATTTGCGATCCAGCCCAAGTCGCCGGTCTTTCGGCTGGGATTTACCTTCCGTTTCCGCCAGCAACTATTTTGGTGTATTCTTCAGTGTCTGAAAAGAACGGAAAAGAATGCACAGAAGAAAAACCCTCGCCGGGGCATCAGGCGAGCAAGAATCCAAAATAATTACCCACAAGTAATAAAAGCTGTGGAAACCACGCCGCAACGGTAGTCTTCTTATTTTTTGTCGTAGTCTCCGTTGGCTTCTTTTTTTTTTTTTTGGGGAGATGAGAAAGTATTTCAACTTAAAGTGTGTTTTTTTTTTCCTGAGTGGCAAAGATGACGATTTTCAGTTAAAGAAACAAAAATGAAAAAGAAAAGTTACAACAACAATGGCAAATTATGTTTCAAGAATGCTCAAGAAGTTCGGTGGGTGGGGGGAGGGTGTGAGGGTGAGGTGGAGGGGAATTACGAGAAATTGTTT